GGAAAATTATTAAATTAAGTGTGATGCAAAATTAATTCAAAAATTCTTTAAACAAGACCATTTAATGAAACAAATCGGTTCCTAATTTTAAGTCCAAATTTTTTTATGAGAGTAAAAGCACCGAGACCATCAAATTCGTCGTGCCGTTAGACATTTACGATGAAATTTGTTTTGACTAGTGTAAAGGATTCATCAAATTTGAGTGCAAACCACAGGAAAACAGACTGTTTAAATGATGTGGCAATTCGTCATTACAGAATGAGAGAAAAAAGGAAATTTAATGTTAATTTCAAACAATTTAGGTGAACAAATTTTCAGCTTTACTAAAACATAAGTAATCAAAGCCTGTAGAATAGTTCATATTCCCTACAACTATGCTTCAAAAGCGATAAACTTTCCAATTCCTTTAGGGAAAAATTTTATGGGAGATTTCCATTTCCCAGAAAATTTGATTTCCTGTTAGTTAGCACGTTACGCTTGCCAAGATTCTGAATTAATAGCTCTTTGTCTACATAAACAAGGAATAACATTTCCATGATTTTGATCTGTAGTTTTACCATAGGTCATTTAACCACATAGGTTCTAAAGGTCAAATTTTTATGTCAATTCCCATATCACTTATCAATGCCAAGATTCCTCCACTTGGCATCTATGCGTGGGAGTAGACTTTCCTTGTTATATCTGATTATATGTGAATAGGTAAGCAGCGCAGTGCTCTTGAGGCTTTACCACTCTTAACTGTTCATTTGTCCTACTTCATTGAATTCCTTTCTGATCAACCCTTACAGATATTCCATTAAACTTCTAGGAGAGACAGTCACCCTGCTTTTACGCCCATGATGCAAATAACGATTTTGTTTTCTGTATGCTCTTTCATTGAGTTTGTGTCTAATGACTGGCAAACTATTTTTAATACTACTAATTTTTCCCCCTGAAATAGTTAACTATTTGTTTATATCAAAAGGCAGTCATTTTGATAGTCATTATAAGCCCTTTAACTGACTTCGGGCTTTACAGAAGGGTGGAATATCAAGGTCACAAAATTGGAGAGGGGGAACAGTAGAGTGATTCACAGATATAAAAGGGAGACCGACACAAAGGTGGAGAGTAGGGTAAGGTGAGTGCTGTGAAAGGGGTCGAATATGACATACAGTCGGGTCATGGTAGTTTGAAATCAGAAGTCAACTGCCGGTTAATAGACTCTATTGCCGTATTAGCATACGTTACCCAGGATGCTCCACGTGGAGGTAAGTCTATCACACACCCCGAATTATTTAACGGAATGGCTAGTATTATTTTAGTTCCACCTACCTTAAGTATTTGATTGAAATATTTTTTAAAGTTATATACATAAATTCTCTCCATACTTTTCTTAAACCCTAACAGATATGAATAGTTTGCTCAGAGTATACTATGGTCAACCATGCTTTAGGATTACGAAGGGTCATTCAGCTTTCTTTTTTTATAAAGAGATAATGAACGCTTAAGTTGGGGTGAGTATCCTAATTAGCCATCTAGTCAAACGGTATCGGATAACATGGGCAAGAATTTTTTAGTAATTTAGACGAAATATGGTATTCGCATTCTGGAATTGCAAATAGTCACAAGGCAAATACTATACAACTCGAAACTTAACTTTAACAGCAGGAACACTATTTCGCCGCCTAACCCTATTCTCAAAATCCTTTCCAGTCCCACTCATTTTTAATTGTTTTATATGCATACGATAATAATAAATTCTATTTATTTCCTTTGACCTTTATTACAGCAACAATGAATCCCTGATAAACTCTGTGGCATATGTAAATTCCTTGGGCACGTGATAAGTATTTTTATAAGCTAACAAAGATTGGATGTACTTGACAAATTTGACTAGATGCATACGTCGTATCAATGACGCAATTGTTATTAATAATTAAATTATAAAAACCATCCGCATGCGCACATGATATAAATGAATGAACGCGTGGGTCAGAATGGACTATAGCCTGAGTAATGAGAGCGAATAGAGTAAACGCAATTCACATCCTGGCAGATTGCCGCAGTGTTGATTGGTTGACCACATGTCCGGCACAGGTGTAAAATTACTACGCCGTGATTGGCCTCTGTGGTCTGAATTGTGCGCATGGGCCTGTGTGCGTACGTACGTGCGGACGTGCACTTACAAATATGTTTGCACAAACTTGGCACAAACCGAGCAAACGAGCATTCATTCTTCACACGCTGTGCATTTGAACAGCCTCCCCCTCACTGCATCGTCTCATCATTATCTCATGATCATCCAAACCTGAAACTAGGATCTGAAGTAAAATTCAAATTTCTTACATCATACTGTGGATTGTACAGCCTTCTTTCACCCATATTCCGTCAAGGTGAGCACTAATTTTCCTCATTTTAGATATGTTTAATTAAAATAAAAATAGTGCATTAAGGCCCTATTTATTGGAACTAAAAAATAACTTCGAATTTCTATTCACTAAGTGCACCGTTCAAAAGCGCCCATCCGTCGCCTTCAAATTTTTTCCTAACTTATCCTAGTAGTTTTGAAATCGTCTAATTCATAATATTGGCATGATGGTATAACAAATTTGGAATTCTAATAAAAAACCACGAGTTTTAGGTCCCGTAAAATGAAACACAGTCTCAGTGAGATATTGGCCCATTTAAATCAACTTTGGCTCCTAATGAATGTTTGAACCAAATATACGAGATGGACAGTGTATTCCAAAAGGAACCTGGTAATAAAAGTGTCCGATTGTTTACATTTACTTAATAACGTTAGAGGCTATCGACTTATTATTTCAAAGATGGCGATAGGTCGTTAGTGAGGTACAAATTTAAATGGATACAAAGACTGCTAAAACTGGGAGGATTGTCTTGTGGAAAGAAGATTGAATAATTATATTGGCCACGGCTGATGAATGCTTAAGTGAAATATAGCCATAAACCACCTTATAAGTCATAATGGATAAGTATTAGGCCTTAAAAACTTGCAATTACTTTGAAAAAAGGAAGAAATGTAGAGCTCATTTTCAACTGGTGCTTTCCCTTCTCGCTACCAGATATCTTAATAAATGATAAGCAGGGGTAAAAAGATTAGTTTGCAATTTGTAGTAACGGTAGGGTTCTAATTCACTTTATTTAATGCTTTTTTCAAGAAAGCAAGCGTTTAAATACCTTTTGGGCCTTTTTTTAAATTAGACAAAAGATAAATCTAAAAATTTTCAGCCTCAATGCAACGTTTAAAGTACAGACACAAAGTTATCATGATTCATTCCATGTCAGCGATGAAGCCACGCTAAATAATGTTTTTTTTAAATCAGAACTTACTTTCAGTTAATTTGCTAATATATCTTGTAAAAGGAACAGTTGCTACCTTAGTAAAATTTAAGAAAACTGTTTAAATAATGTGAGAAAAAATGGAGGAGATTAAGCTTCAATTTCTAACAGCCAAATTAGAGCCAATGAGGCCGAAGGAGCTGATTGGGCCTCCAGTTGATTAAATCTACGCCTGTATTCAACGCATTTTGGCTTTTGTTTATAGGAAAATTAGCTTTTAAAGCTGATGGAGTCTGCCGGAATGAATCGATATATGTTTGTTTATTCAAGAGGAATAATATACTAAAATTCCCGAATGGCATCTGCTATTGTTAAAAGACCTCACATACTATCCCAATTAACTAGTACATCAATATTCAAAGGTATATATTTAGAATTCTGATAGGTTAGTTATTAGGCCTTAAAGTTAACAAGGTAACCGGGCTTGATAAAAAGGTTTTCAAAACCATATTATTCCATAAAAGCTGCATCAACACTTACATAAAGAACATTTATTAACTGCCATTTTAAAATAGAAGTCATTTCTAATCACAGGGTAGAAGTGGTTGACGAGGTGGAAGCTCAATTTGAAATTTGGACTTATTGAATTTTATTTCTCCTTGCTTGGTGGACACACTTCATGAACTAATGCTTAAAAGTTCGCATATTGGGATTCAAACCTTCGTATTCCTGAATAAGTTAATATTTGCCAATATTCGGAGCCCATTGACTATTTTAACAAATTGAGTGGTTATCAAAGCCACCTCTTTGACTTCATCTTCCTTCTGAAACCAAATAACCAACTCTACAAGGGCTATTTGTAGATGAGACTTCTGCACTATCTGTTGAGTTTCGATTGCAGGATGACAATTAATTTAGCAATGGATTCTATTTAATATTATAAAAATATTTTTCAATTTAGAGTGAAATAAAATTAAATATATTAATCCAGTTATATCATAACCGCATAACAGCAGAGAAGTTACAAATATATTATGCCTTCAACGAACAAGAGTCGTTAAGAGGTGAGTCCGAGATACTCAAAAATAAAATAGTGAATCTGTCTTTAAAAATTGCTTTTTTCAAATAATATTCACGTCTTCCCTTTGGTGGTAGGTATCACGTATTTCAGGTGTTAGATGTGATTTAGTGCATTAACACGTATTGGTAAATACCAAAGCACAATTTGGGAGAACTGCTATTTTATATCCTTTCCGTTGGGTATTCATTAATACTAGTCAATAGCAACGATCTTCAGTTTGATTGGAAGGCAAAGTATGCTCAATCAGATTAAAATGACTTTAATAACTTATTAATTTATATCTTACAAGGAAGAGGAAAAGAAGATAAGTATTATAAACCTTGAAATGGTTACGCCCATCATATTTATTACATTTAAAAACCAGTGAAAAAACACCTCGAGTAAAATTAAACAACGGATCTTTTGTTAAAATCTTCTGATTTGGTAAAATTCATTTATCTGTGAACGATAATCTATTTAATAGAACTATCGTTGTAAAATATTTCGGTCAATCTTTTAGAATGTTTTATGGCAAAAAATTTTCAGCCCAAAATTATCATTTGATAAAGCTAAATTTTAATAGTGCTCTATGATTAAAAAAGAGAATATTTGATAAGTTTGTTTTTGATAAATTATAAAGGCATTCATTTTTTCACTTTAGATGTTCCTTTTGAAAATCCTGGCTGTGATAACAAACGTTAGTTTAATAGCTGCAAGCCCATACGCCTTCATTGATTCCCATTCTCAATTCTTCCAAATCATAGAGGAGTCTCTTAACGGAACGGAAATCATTGGTGTATCTGAGTATCTCCACAATGCCGTTGGGATAGGTTCCAAAACGACCTATCAGCTACTTGATTCTCATGAAATACTCACCCGTTTGTTGAAAATTGAGTCACAGACTGGCCGACTTTATGTGGATGGTAGAATCGATCGAGAGACTATCTGTCCACAAACTTCAGGCATTTCTCTACCCTTCCTTGATTCAGATACTTCATGTATGAAACAGATTAGTGTCTTAGCTACCATACAGCAAGACCAAGAAGTTTCAGTTCAAACGATTCCTCTAAAACTTGTGATTCTGGATGTGAACGACAATGCTCCTTCATGGAATTCTGCTGCTAGACAATTAGACGGTCTTCCAGTTTTAGAAGCCAGTATTCTTGAACAAGCTTCTGGAAGTAAAGTTCAAGTTCCGGCGGCATATGATCCTGATTTCGGTCTAAATGGCGAGATCTCCTATCGCCTTGAGAATTACCCGAATCCATCTGGAGGTGATTCACCGAATCAAGATCACGGACCAGCTCCATTTACAATCAGTGGTCCGGTTGGTGGAATGCTGCAACTGACCCCGTTTCAAACCATCGACTATGAAAAACAGAATGTGTATGACCTTCTCTTAGTTGCATCAGATGATGGCAAACCCCCGAAAGTGGGGAAGGCACATTTACGAGTTAGTGTAATTGACGTAAATGATGAAGCCCCAGTTTTCATCCAGCAGATCTTCACTCCCCCAGGTGGCCAGGGTATTTCAGAACGTACACAACCTGGAAGAGTCATTCTCAATGTTACCGCTGTAGATGGAGACGCTTCAGACCGAAATTCACGCCTCACTTACTCAATGGTTCCTAGCTCCAATCGACTGATAGGTGAAATGTTCTCAGTGCATCCAGATGGTAGGATTATCCTTCGACATTGGTTAGATTATGAGACCTTGGAACCTGCGCATATGTCTAGTTCTACTCAAGCTCTACGTGAGGCACCTCCCTCTAAAGGGAAGCAATTTGCATTCTTCGTGAAAGCAACAGATTCGGCACCACCACCCTATGAAAAAACGGGGACTGCGCTCGTTGTCATTCCAATTATCGATGAGAATGATGAAAAACCAGTAATTAGTTCGCGGTTTCTGGGATCACCAGAACTCGTTAAACATGGTGAAGCAGGTATGAATTTCTTATTTGAGGATTTTATAAATTGTTTACCAAATCACAGAGTTGATGATGAAAACAATTTCTAAAAGTGAACGTACTTATCCATTCTTGTTTACCTTTTAGCTTGTTTACTATTAAGAAGGATTTGAGTAAAACTTGGAGGCATGATTCATGAATGTTCTAAAGCTGATGCAACTCCTTTCCTCCACTCTAAAATTTTAACCGAAATTATTTTAAAGTCAAAATTTAAATTCATTGCCCTAGATTAATGATTTCGTGGTGATTATGGATATATGGTAATGGAATTAGAAATAATGCACTCAGTTCGACGTTACTGAATTTAAGAAAAAAATTTCCTCCTCTGACCAATTTTGGCAAAAACTGTAACATTTTTCTCAATTTTACCACTACTAATATGTAGAAATTTGATTATTTATCTATGCTTTCATTTTAATAACAAGGAAATACAGCATGGCATTTATCCAGAAAGTATGCATTTTCATTTCGAAAAATAGTGCAAGATGTTGTCTTTGAAATAAAATATTAAATAACCCAGTTAGTTTATGATTGATTAGAGCCACGGTAAAGGTCCTTGAAAAACTTCACAATTTCGGTAAGAAGAGCAGTTTATTTCAGAAATTATGAAAGCCTCATTCACCAAGAAACCGATTTGTTTTCTTTACTAATACTCCAGGAATTTGGTCTTCATGTTGCAGAGAATGAGTCTTATTTCGGTTCTGAAACAGTTATTCGATATCTATATTGCCGTCTCAATTCGTCAACAGAATTTAGCACTTAACTTTTAGCTTCATTTTAAACCTTTATGTTAAATGAATATTACAAATTTATTCTATACCAAGCCAGAGTTCAAGTGGCAGCATAATGCGTCACATGCTTTTTTTATGAAAATAAATGAAGCATAAAATTAAATTTATTTTTTTTAACTAAAGAGGCTTCTAATGGTACTGCCAGCTGCGATGGTAGATGCCGGTTAGTATTTTTGAGCATATAATTAACTTAGGATAGAGAAATAGAGTTTATTTGACAAGTTTCACTTTTGTTTTGTTCCATCAATATTCGCCCCCCCCCCCCCCCCCCCCCCCCCCCCCCCCCCCTCCCNAAAAATTCCCCCCCCCCCCCCCCCCCCCTACCTCCCTCCCTCCTTCCGTACCCATAGTTTGATAAATTGATACGTTGCACTTCATACTATTGCTAACTTGGATGTATAACTATGAAATTGGAAATGGAAACCCTGGACTGGGTAAGGATCCATTCCAGTGTTTCTTAACCATTGGCTCCAGTATATTTCAGGATGGTAGTTGTAAGAGTGATAGAATGTGTCGAATGTAAGAAAGCTCTGGAGTTTTGCCAGTTTTCTCCATGGAAAATTAATAGGTCGCTGATTTAGTTTGAGGTCAATCATCGAGTGGAATTTACTATATAGAGTAGAGAACCCAGTTAGTGAGAGGGTGATTAAAGATTAAAGAGTTCTCCGTCCATTTAATAAATGATCAGTTATAGATGCAAACGCGAAGCAAAAATATCTAATTTATTTTCCATGGTGAGTATTTTTGGACTCTCGTATCTTTTCTTTTGTGATTTCCTTGAAATTGGAAAAGTCAACTTTGGATGAAATTCAATCTCAAGTTGTTGTAATTGAATTCCGCAAAAGTTTTCTTACACAGATCAAAGGTCTATAATTCCTCGTGGGTCTCTTTGGCAGTTCGAAAAAAAGTTTTACCTGAATTATGAAAACAAGATTTGAGTTAAATTATTCCCTCATTAAAAGCAAATACATAGGTTTATAAGGAACCAAGAATGTGCTTAAAATTTGGTAGAAAAGATTTCCATTTTTAAATTTATTATTTTCGAGTTAATCGAGTTCTTAGAGTCGGTGTCTCTTTTGGTCACAAAGTCCTCACTTACATTAACTATGATCCCACAAGTAATATCTCGATAATTTTAGTTATTTAAAAAATTGAAGCATTTTTACCTTGTTCAATGCAACGATGTGAAATGGCGCCAAAAACTGGAGCGCAGAAATACGATTACAAGTTTAATTAATTATATCAGGCGTTCATATTTTATATAATCAGGAAGTGCTAATTTTTTTAGAATTGAAATTCAATTAATTAGGTGCTTGGCTCCAAGTGAACTAATTAATTTTTTAATAATTCGTCACTCTAAATATTGGTAATAATTATCGGTGCATACTCTGTTCAAAGCATCTTTCCAATTCTTCAAGGAAAGACAAATTGGCATAACTCCAATCCTCCGTGTATCCTCCATCGCCATGGTGCTGAATCAAACCCTCATCCCAGCTCACTTCACCGAAGTCCAATCCGAGAAAAATAACTGGTAACATTAAGGTCTGAAGGAAAATTTTTTCCTCTTGGATAGGATAGAGCAATTTGGGCCTTGCACTAAGTCAATTTTCCGTTTTCCGTAGATTTGCAATCACTTATGTCGTTCCAAATAATAATCTCCAGAAATTGTAATGCTTTTCTATTTTCAACTAATATCATCTTATTTTATTTTAAATAGTTCATGTCCTATCAGTCATAGTCAAGAATGAGTAAGTCAAATCTTTTAAATAATTGGGCGCCTTCTGTCCAATTTGAGAGCTAAATTGACAATGTGTTACGTGTACACAAAGCAGAATTTCTTTGGGTATATATAAAACTCACACTTCATTTGATTTAAATTTATTTTCAATTTGAAGTACTGTGTCACATCATCAGCTGGTGGTAAAACTGCACACTTTTACCCCATACAATTAGAGAGTAATTTAACAGATTAACGGGACAGAACTTCAAATAAAGTTAAATTATGGTATTCGTCTACTTTAGGTGTTATAATAGAGAACTCGACTGTTCCAGTTCGATTGGCCTATATTCAAGCTCGTGATCCAGATTTTGATGGTCGTGATCGTGTCGAATGCACAGTTCCAGATAATGAAAATCTTTCCATCAAACGAGTGGCACCAATAACTCATCGACAGTCTAGTGACGATATGAGTATTTCGCCAAATAACAATGACTTTCTTCTAAGTCTTGAGGAACCCGTAGATCGAGAAACTGTAAAAATGCTTCAGGTACGAATACATTGTGTTGATGAGGCTAATAACACGGCAGATAAACTGATCAACATTCGTGTTTTGGATGTCAATGATGAATGCCCCACCTTTCTTTGGCCTGTGGTCTATTTTTCTGTCAACGAAAATACCAAGGTACCTTCAACAGTCAATGGTCCGAACGGTACCCTTCAAGGTTACAGAATTGGAAGGGTGATAGCCTACGACAAGGATGAAGGGGATAATGCGAGAATTATGTATGGTCTCCTGCCAGCCATTGAAATCGAGGAGCCCAAACCGAGACCTAGTTTATTCCCTCTTAGTGAATATGACCTAGAAAACTATCCTACGCAAGCTTCCGATATATTTCGGATCGATTCAACCACAGGAGAGCTTTTCGCACTGAGATCATTCGACGCGGAGAAAGAGAAGCTGATAAAGTTGAAGGTTATTGCAATAGATCAACCTTCAGATCCATCTGCTCGCTCACATACTGGTACAGCAAGTGTTGTTATTCAGATTTTTGACATGAACGATTGGTCTCCGGTGTTTCACCAAGTGTTTGAAAACGATCGACACAATCAACAACTCTATGCTCATAGTATTCTTGACGAACCATCAACAGTTGACTCCTATCAATTCTCGATTAAGGAGAACCTTCCTGCTTATACACTCGTTGGGCGGATCAGTGCAATTGATCCAGACGTGAGCTTCTGGGGATCTATTAGTTTTATTAATAATGGCACAGCAGGTGATGGTTCACGTTCTCCCAAAGGAATAACACTACAATTCGCTCCAGGGACTCCAGCCTATGTGGAAAATGCCTTTACTATTCATCCAATTTCTGGGCAGCTGAGAACTACTGGATCCTTGGACAGAGAAGCTTGTGCGAACTATACATTCAGTGTCATCGCTGTTGATAAAGGACCGGTAGATGGTGTTTCAAGAACTTCAACCGCCGTAATCACTGTCAATGTTGAGGTTTGTCACTCTGTTCTGTTTAAATCATATTTCAATTGCTTGACTTTGTTTTATTTAAACCGAAACACATATACGCCATGGCGTAAAAGATTTTCTGTTTATTCAAATGTAGTCGGTACATAAAGTACGTATAAACAGAATTAAAATACAATTTTCAAACTTGAATTAAATGTTGTAATCACAAACTAAAAGTTGTTTTAGGAAATTCGATGGGAATCCTCCCTGTAATCTTTCAACCATATTGCAAGTAATAATCTGACATAACTCAATCAATTAAATCTTGTGAAATCGGCATAGCTTATTAATACCATTGCGTATCAGGTATGTGAGTTTGGGTGTCGTTAGCAAATACTAATTAACTTTACTGCCATGACAATGCTCATCGACTGCATACCGTGTTAACGTACCATCGCGTTAACACTTGACACCAGGTTATTAAATGAACAAATATTCTTAAAAAAAGTGAATGCAAATTTTCAGACACTCATTTCAATGTAAAAGCTGCGATTTGAAGCTATGATGTAATAGCAGAAAAATATTAGCTTATTCTGAAGACGTGCTGCTTTTTGTGTGTGAAACGTAAGATGGCAAACAAATCCGCCAGCAACCTGCCAAAATGCGGTCATTTTGTGGCTTTGAATGATGATGATTTTTGGTTGAGGGGGATGGAGTTAGAGGGAGCTATTAAATCTTCATTTATGTGAATACCCTAAAATGCAGGTGGTTCTAGCGCGCCCACAGAACTCCGCAAACATTCAAAGAAAAATGTGCACGCGAACGCTTTCGCACAGGGTGGTTGAAGGTGAAATGAGGGGCGTTGAGGGAGGGGGTGGGGGTGGGGGGGGGAGGAGTGTGGGTTTGAAAGAGGGGTATCAAGTTATGTTCAGGGCTCACCCATTCGGTTGCTACCCCCTATCGGTATGGCACAACACATCTGGAAGCACTAGAGATATAGCACGAGGCGTCACTCTCCTTGATTCCACGTGTGTGCTATTTCCTGCATGTGTCTTTGCCTGTGAACAAGAGCTAGCACGTTGCAAGTCTGAAACTAGGGCACAAAACGCATCTAGTAATTCTCTACTAGCTCTCTCTCTCTCTGTGTGTCGCGTTCTGATTCACTCCAGCTAAGCAATAAACTCGTTTGTGGACTTGAAGAGGCCTGTCGCATAGAGCTGTCGAATGCATTCTTCAACTAATAGGATGGAAGTACACCACGAAGCGTGGTACCCATATCTTGTCAGACTTTAAATATAGTCACGTATTACCTATGCAAAAATAAAACTCAACTACTTAAATTTAATTATCGATAACTGGGATTACTTTACTGCTTTGTTGTCAAATTAGAAAGGACATTAAAAGGGCAATAACGTTAGCCAAAGTCTCAAACTGTCATTAAACATTAGTTTCTGCTTAAAATGTTTAAATATAATGAAATCTAAATTTGACGATAAAAAATTTCTTAAGGTAAAAGCCAGAATATGAAGAATTTAGTTATTCAAAAATAATATATCCACCCAAAGAAGTCCGTTATTCCATTGAGAGGACAATTAATGGAGCTGTGTCAAATCATTGATGATAAATTTCGGGTACGGCAATTTTTCCTACAGTTGGGTTTCAAGATTTAACTCATATAATGTGAATTTAAATCAGAACGGATTTATTTACTTATTGAACTGCCTACTTTCCCAAAAGTGTAATTCTGAAGTAGGGTGACTTATATGGAAAATCATTAAAATTCGAATTGGAATTTCTTTTTAATGCCTTATTGTCATCATTTTTCTGATTTATTCCAAAGTGTTTTTAATTTTTGAGTCAATTTCAAACAAGAAGAAAATCTCAATGGTTATCAGTATTAAAATGGCGTCCGAATCAGTCTGAACTTTTTTAGAAATATTTACCAAGCTGTTAGCTTCATTGAGTTGAATGACCAACTGAAAGAAAAAGAGATATAAAGCTGGTAGTTATGCGGAACTGTTAAATATATATTGAAAACTGACAAGGTAAGAACATTCATAAGGAAATATTAAGGTTGCCATGAAACAAATCCGCTTTATTAACCCTCACTGATACAGTGAAACATTCCGTATGCATAAAGGCATTAAGGTTATTGATATTCGATAATAATTAGTTTTCTTTAAGCCTCTCAATAGAACGATTTCGAACTCTTCAAACAGTTACTTATAGTGTCAAACAAAATTAGGCCCAAATAAATTTTAATAATTAAGTATAACTGTCTTCAAAGGAGTATACGGTCGAAACGTATCCAATATTTTACCTGACGTCTTGTAATGGCAGTTAATTTAAAACTCGAATATTCATTAAGAATAGAAATTCATCTCCCTACAATTTTAAGACTTGGGGTTGTTGGGTCATCATCTTCTTTTCATAGATAATCATTGTACGAATTAAGCGAAAGGACTTCCTGGTGTGTAATGCCACCCACCTCAAGTGGGGAAGAAACTGTTCCACTAATTGGACAAAACTGCCACAATTTACATAATTGGATTTGGTGCAAAATACGCAGAATGCGCATTTCGTTAGAGGCAAAGGGGTGGGGTTTATGCAGGATTTGCTTTCGATTTAAAAAATATAAATGACGTATCAAAATTTTACGAGATCTGATCGAGATATCCATGTTGATAGAACTATGTAAGGTGGGTCGAGTGAGGGGGGGGGGGAGAAGTATTTCCAGATCTATCCAAACTCAATGTTTTCATCAATTAAGGATATGAGTGAATGTAAACAATTTCCGCCTAGGTTTCTAAAGAGCTTTTGGCTTAGAAGAGTATTTGACCCAGTATTAGGAGATCATTAATCCGCAACTTGTCGTAGCTACTTCACTGCCAACAAACCGCGAATACACAACATCTAAAAGAATAGCTAAAATACGCAGCCTTTTATTTGCATTCGATTGTAATCTATGACTGTTTATTGATATTATCCTGTTGTTAGACAGAATTTAAAATTTTCATTCACACCTGTTTGTGAATCATCCCAAACAGCGCTTGATGTGCGCATTTTCGATCTGCAATTTTTTTGAAATTTACTATGTTAATCAACGCCAAAGCTCCACTCTTCTAGTTATAAAGGCAAAAATAATGCACCACAAGTTATGAGCCCATCACTATCATCCACTAGAGCAATTAGTTGTTCCTGATTGGACGCATGAATACTAATCCTCTTCTGTCCTTTCCCTGGAGGGGCCAATGCTATCTTGAAATAAGGCGTCTCTTTATTAATGAGTTTATTATTACTGTCATATATAAAAGATAGATATGCACATAGCTTTGCTGAGAAGCTGCCGAGAGGATTAATTTTAAACTAACAAAATGATGCACCCTATCTTTCATCTGTCCAATAGAAATGATATGATGATGCTTATTTAACCTGGTTCCAGGTTTTGGTCACATATATTGCATGAGAAACGAGTTATATAAATAAAGATAATTATAGAAAATCAAATTTATACTTTATGCTCTCCTTTCTTCCATTCACTTTTCAGGCGTTTTTAGTTAGGAGGTAGGTAAATCAGGTTGGTAGGCAGTCACTTTGCATCAGATACCACTATATTATATCCTCTAGGCTTATAGAAACTATACAAATAAATTATTTATTCTTGAATTTGACCTTGATTAAACTTTGAGCTATGATCTTCGCTAAGACCTCGTAGTATTACCAACCAATTATTGATATTTGAATGAGGAAGCAGGTCAAGAAACGCACTGATGACGGTAAGGAATTGACGAAATTTGAAATTTCGGACGTTAAGAAGTGAACTTTCAAGAATCGCAATTGAACCCATCTGTCTATGAAGTATTAACCATTAACTGTCCGATTTAGGCTGGATTTTCCCAACGGATAGTGCTCAAATTTTCTGCATTACTGCTTATTCAATATGTGCAAATGATTTGAATCTCCAAGGTTAGCATACCTCGTAGTGATCAAATTAGTTGATGTCTTTGCCACAATTAAAGGTGATACTTTAGGCAACTTCTCTCAACTTTTCATGTGTTAAACGACCCAACGTGTTCGTAAAGTTGACAGGTTAACAAACTGACATTAAAGTTGATAAACAACATTTCAAAATCACATGTTCTTCATCGTTAATGACGGAATTTCGACTAACATAGGGAATCTTGCTCCATCTTTTCTGCATCGAAAGGCAATAGCATGCCTCACTTTAAAATGGCACCTTGACAGTTTGCAATGCTGTCAATAGTAGTTCTGGTATACAATAAAAATGTAGAGAAAAAAAAATAGATGACAGTGTTTATCGGTAGAAGTAATTTTTTTTGGAGTAGCCAAGACCATAAAAGTACATGAATTTTATATAAACTAAATGCCTTGAATTCAATTATTTCTTCTCTTTTATTATTACATAAGGACGACTCGATACGGTATTTGAAATGTATCTCTATTGTTTAAAAGTAAATACAATAGCTAATAATGACTTCATTAGTTATTTAATTGTTTTTCTTTAATTTAACTGACAATTTTATAATTGCATTGTTTACTTAAAATTTTGGACTTTTCTGTCACTGCTATGTCGAAACGCTAAAGGAGTTCGCTATTTCTTCTTAATCACTGGAAAAATAAGCTAATTGAGGACGCTAGACCAACTAGCATGAAACATGATGTTTTAATTTTAGTCGAAAAGTTCAACGAAGAAGAACTCTTTGATATCTTAGCATTAATGGCGGGATCTTTTCGACTACCTCCTACTAACTATTTGTCATGTTCTTTGTTAATTTAATTAAAATAATTGAGGCATTTTTTATTTATTACTGCGGAAACTAGTAATTAACCAACTTTTTATAAAGAAAAAATGCTCAAAGATTCCATATAATGTGAGGACGGTTTAAACATAATCGTTCGCCACAGTTTCTCAAATAGTTAGATGCTTCTTTGTTGAAAAAATGTGCGACAGGTCGTGATGGCGTTTTTATCGTTCTCAATATGCACTTCAGGGCAATGTAAATTAAAAAAATACGTACCGTTTTTGAACTTCACAGCGAACCGTTAACCCAGTACACTTTTTGAATATTACAGCACATTGAGAATTTAGAGGGAACTATTTTCAATCTCCCTTAATATTACTTAAATTTAGCAAATTATAAGCTTCTCCATATTTTTTTATAATTTTAAATATCCTTAAAAGTGATTCTCGCTACTATTCCGTCTATCAAGAGGCCCAAAATAAGAATTATCCTTCATTTTATCATTTTAAAACGAGAGTTTGGACATTAAAATTTCCATAGAGCACGCAAAATGTGATTTGGTTTATAAATAAGGAAATTAATTCCTGAATTGTTTGTGGTAAACTAAGAGCCTCTGCACTCAATGTAGTGCCTTAAACTCTTCATACCTCGCTGTTGCCATAAAGGAAATACTCTGCATTTTCATTGTTAGGTAGAATAATCTATTGTAATAAATAGTAATCTGTGTAAAATCGTTAAGATGAGACCTAAATGGACTGACATGGATAACGTATCTCCATGACTTTAAAAGTGATTGTCTTCCTTTTAATACTATGCATGACTAATATACCATTATGTTAGGATACTTCTTCAGACATACTTAGTTTGAATAAATGTTTGGCAGTCTATTTCTACTTAGTTTGTGATTTCGCTCCATAAATTTGAAGAAGGATAGGTAAAAATTACCATTATTTCTCTTAGTTTTAAGACAGCTAAACAAAAAAATAGTCATTTCATTTAATGTGTCTATAGCTGCATATAGTTATCCACACACCGTAGGTCAGTTCCATTCCTGTTGACAACAGAAAAGGATGTGGGAAATTAGCAGGCCACTGCCAAGTTATTAGTTGTTTCTGTCTTCATTTGTAGCGGACATGCACTCTCGCTACACCACCAGTTCCGCCATGCAACTCTCTAATGTTATCAACCTCTTCGTACGACACGGTAGCAGCCGTACTTCCACATCAACCGCTTTACTTCTCTCCTAAGTGTTTTATGCAGGCACAAAACAGCATCTATTTGTTCATTCATCTTAAAATAGTTTTAATAAGAAAATCACTGTGTACATTTAAGCAACGCCTACAAAGAGAGAGAGAGAGATAATGCCAAGCTTAAATACCTCAATTTGCGTACAATTAAAAGCACTGCAATTTCCTCTATGGCCTTTAGCGTAGAAAGATGGATTTTCAATGGCCTTTGCGTCCATCTGAGCTTAAAAATCTGCACCAGGACCAGTTTCCTTTTCATTAATCCAAAAACATATTTTGTGGCATTAAATTGTCGTGAGATCTTTACATGAGTTTATTTTCAACTCTTCCTACTTAATTTCACTTTTTTTGCCACGCTATTAAATAAGGTAGCATCGATTCCAAGCATCTCTCGAATTAATGTGACTTTGGCAAGAAGAGGTTTTCATCAAATTTATGGCATTAATTAACATAGGAAACATCAACAGCACAGCAACCAAGATGTTGGTGTCATGGATTTTGGACCGCTTGGTCCATAAGAACAACTGTTGTTTGAGACGTAAATTGACAAATGAGTGATTGTTTTTTTTAATAGTTTAGCGGTTGAATTCTTCTCCTATTATAATGCGGAGTGTAGAATCAACTTGAAAGGGTGGAAGAATTTAAATTGCTAAAAAAAGGAAATTTACTTCGCCTGCTTAAGATTCAGAAATAAAAGCGATTCGATCTGCAATAATGTTGGCTTCGAATGCCAATGCGAAAAGTGTAAATCTCACATGTGATTTTACTTTAAGTAAGTGAAGACATGAATTTTTTGACCAATTTCTTTATTGCCACAAAAAGGTCAAAGTGAATGAACTGAAACCCTGGCTAAATGTTATTTGTACTTCCAGTAATAATTGCTCGGAATTTTTTTCTTTAATATGTGTAATATATTTTATATATTCGAAAAAATCCCAAAAGGGTCTATTTAAAATGACCATGATCTAGGCTACGATTATTATTTGCCATCATGAATAATTACAAGTGTTTGCGTGGACAAACTAGATGTATGTGGTGGTGGAAAAAGTTAAGCATACTTAAATCAGCATGTTCCGAAGAGAGTGAATTTTACTCTCCAACACTGATAGGGTAAATAACAAAAGAATCTGTCAATAACTTTCCTTGAGTTTGAGATCTCGCTTTGTGTAGAAAATAGGGTAATCGAGGACGATTGTCGCAGAGTCTATACTTTGTCTCTGAATGGGAATTTCACATCTCACAGGAAGTCTCAAGTCGTCTGTCAGACTTATCAGAAATTGGTTACAAACCCCTTTTGTAACTTGAAAGTTGGTTTTATTAGAACTTCTGTCAAAGCTACAATGAGATTTTCATTCTAATAAGTAGTTTTTGCAAAGTTTTCAAGAACTTTAGGGGGAAAAGGACTTCTGCAAAAACTAATTTCGATGCAGAATATCCATTTGTATCGAATCGGAAATATATGGCCTCCAATCTACAGGTTGAAATAGAAATAAAAGTTTACAAGACATTTTATTATTAGGTCTTAATGTTTCATCTTTGAAGCCTCTTTCACAATGACCATCTCTTACTCTAACTTATACTCCAATTCGAAAGAAAATATCGTTTAAACTGGAGAGATCGTTGTATCTAAATTTTTACATTCACATGTTCCTCGAAATTGGCTTATTAACTTTCAATAGACAGCAGTGTGTTAGTTAACAGACATGAATTGGAGTTAAGGTTAAGGCTTGGGAGACTGGATGGAGGGGGGGGGGGGTTGGTAATGGTGCATAAATGGTCGATCACATTGCTGTTGTTAAGGCGTAGCTGTTGAGTTAATGCCTGGCGTTGACTGACACGCAGTCACTTTATTTTAGGACGAGAACGACAACGACCCTGTGTTCATCCGACCAGTGTCTGAAGCATTGGACAATGGCAAAGCGCCAGGAGGTGAAACACTCTTTGAGGGCGATGCATTCCCTTCACCATCACCAACACCCCAAGGCAGTCTCGATTCCCAGTCTGCTTCCTCATCCTCTGGGTCTGCATCCGCGTCAGCCCCCATCGCAGACAAAGATCGTATTCCAGTTGTTGCCGTTAGTCGCTTGCCCAGTAACGGGGGCTCTATCGATGCCAACTGTAAGTTGATATCGCCGACAATGATTGATCTCTCAGTGACCAATTACAGAATAGATTTCAAGGAAAATTGAGTGAAGCTGATTACTTTACATAGAATTGTTGATATCCAATAAGTTGAATAATAAGTGAATCTGTTTAAAAGGGTGAAACTAGTGAGTTAATTGTGGCAACTTAAACAGTATTTTTAAATAGTCGTATTCAGGTATAAGCAGAATATCAAATGTCGTCGAAGACCTAGAATCTTCCTCTGATATATTTTCGTTTCACTTATAGCGTCTTTGAACTAAGTTCCTTATAAATTGATCGAGTGCATTTGGACCTAAAATCCATCAGTGGAGCTTAGGCAATTTCTAAATAAAATGGAATAATTTGAAATTCACGGCGATTTCCGAACTGCGGGTGGCAGAATGAGTTATGACTGCACTAATCAAAGTGAGATGACAGAAATTGTTTACCCTCTCACCCCTTCGCGCCAAAGTAACAAACCATCCTGATCCACTCTGATCAACATGAGAAGTGCCCGAGTGTGAGAACGGTTCCAGAATGCTTTGTTACTTCGCAATCGTTTATTAAAAGAGCTTCCCATATGAAGCGAGGGAAAGGTTCAACTTTTTATTATTCAAACTGTTCAAAGTCCATATCAACATAATCCACTGAATTTGTAAAGTTAATTAGATTTAGAGAACAGTGATACGACCATTTTAACCCTTTGTTTATTCCAATTCCCCCTGATTGTTTGAGCTTTCTTGATAAATTTGGCAACGCCAAGAACTTTTATACATTCTACTTCTGGGGACAACTGACCTCGAATAGTAGAAATTCCTACAAATTGCAATGTGCGGTGGGGGGGGGGGGGGGGGGGGGGGGGGGTTGGGGATTAAAGGTCGGTGGAATACCAAATTTCTAAAGAATTTAATTTCATTCAACTTCGGACTCAAGCAGAAAGCATTTACTGAATGGACAGCTCTCACATTCCAAAATCATCATTTCACGATTCATCTTCGGACTGATGGCAAAGGTTCATCTTTCGTATGCAATTTTAAATTTGCCTACACGCAGTTCATCTTCTTACAGTGTGAGATAGAATTTTGAATTGACAGAGCTAATAAAGCTCAAATTTACTTCAAGAAAAGCTCAATCATCGAACTTTGCTAATGAACTTGTTCTTTTTTAAACATAGTTATTATTAGAAAGAAAGTGCAGTTCTTTGCAAGATATTAATGAAGCTAGTCAAGCCCACTTAGTTTGATGAACAAAGTTATAATTGCAGAAGAGAATGTGATAAGTAAAGAAAAAAGAATTATGCCACTTCTATGAGAGTATATAAATTGGCACCTAGGTTGAGGTAATTTAATCTTTAATTTAAGCTATATTTAGAGCCCTAATTATTATAACCTTTAGAAGTTAAGTGGATCTATATACCAGAGAGGTGCTAACTAATTGCATAATTTCCGTGATTAGCACTTCTGACATGATAAATGGGAATTGTTTAATAGGGAGTGTAAGGGAAAGAGGGGGAGGGATGATCCTTCGAAATAGTGAATTTATTCCACATTTTAGCAAATCCAATCGCTCGTCTACTGATTCGGATAGAAGCTCATGACCCAGACGCTGGTCGAAACGGTCAAATTCGTTATGCAATCACGTCGGGAAATGTTGATGACATCTTCTACTTGGATCCAACTTCTGGATCACTTGTGCTCAAGAGTGCTCACCCAGCTGTGAAGGAGGCTTCGAGCTATCTTCTTCAATTTGAAGCTTGTGACCAAGGGGTTCCACCGCGTTGTGCGACTCCAACCCGTCTACGCGTTGTAATGGGTAGACCAGTTATGAGTAAAGGGGGAAATCCTGGAGGTAGTGTCTACCCCAATACTCTAGACGATAATTCCTACTTTGGATCAAGTCGGTTTTCCGGGGAAACATCCATGACGGAGTTGGAAGAAGCTGGTCAATACGCAGATGTGTGGGATAAGAGTGCTTATAATGAGCTTGGTTCTGATTGGTCATCTCTTTCAAAATGGGAAGATAAACAACGCTACTTGAGAAATGAATACGAAAAGCAGAATTCGCCGAATAGAAGAAGTGGAGTGACTGTCAGTGAAGCAGTTATAATCTGTGTTGCCGTGATATTTGCGGTCTTCCTCTGCGCAGCCTTGATATTAGTGTACCTGGTGAAACGCAAATCCATTTATTTTTCTATCGGAGGGAAGCATAATCGAAAAGGTGGGTGCTGATAACAGTTATCTAAATGTGTATTCACAGAAAAGAGCAAAATTTATGCACAATGAAATTTAGTTGCCCATCTTCACTCGCTCACTATATCTCTCTCTTATATATTCGTGCTCCCAGAGAGCGGCATATCATTTTAATTAATTAAAGCACTACAAATTAACTCCCTAAATCAAATGTTTAGCCTATTTAGAGAGTATTTAAACGATTTTATTGTTTATTATTTTTAGCAGGGGATGCAAACTAACCACACCCATATAATGAATGCAATGAATGGAAACTTTCCATACTTAATTTTGATATAATAAATAGGAATAATAGTGATTTAAATAGGAAAATAGTTATAAGCCAAAATTATTCAATGTTTCTATTGTTTATCTGTTAATCTCAATAATTCTGAAGAAGGGAATTAATTTTGGTTTTGAAAATGCTATTTTAATCATATTTAGCCAACACCACTTCCTATAGGTTAGAAATGTTTGAAAGTTGGAATCCTTTCTCGAATCGATTTTGCTACCAATCTTTCTTAAACAAATTGTATGAAGCTATGCGATTACAAGGCCCCTATTTAAAGAACTTAACGTTGTAGCGACTAGTGTATTCGCGTTACCAGTAGTTATGAGTTTGACTACGCCAATAGCGAAATCTTTGTCTGGCAAATAAGAAATTCGGCAAAATTGAAATTTTCATCAGGATGACCTCGTGTCACTGTCCTCACTGTCGAAAATGAGCTTTAAAAACGCATTCATAAAGGACTACTGATTAAGAAATGGTTTGATCGTCCGTAAAATACATAAAATTCAATAGAATTTGCTTTCTTACATCATATTTCTAATATCTGTTATCACAATAGCAGATGAAAATATTGCTTGATTACGTAATTTAACCGGTTTTAATGGACTTTAGCTTCCCCGTGATTTCAATATTAGAAGTCGTTTCTCAAAATAAGAAAATGTGTTATTTATTCAGCAACCATCTTGTTTTAACGAATAGTTAGTGCTTTCATTTTACACTTGCATCCATTTCTGTTTCTTTTTTGTGCAGTTAATTTTGATGGGTTCAAAATGTTACATTAGCGCTTTCATTTTAATTTCTTGGATTAGTTTCACAAGCCTTTTTGTAAGCAAAAATGACAAAATTAACTACAGAAAATGCTACATAGAGATTAACTTCACCTTTTCATGAGTAGAGCGCTCAAAATATGCGAGTTTTGGTCGTATTGTTTTGAACTATTAACTTTCCCTACTCACTTTAAGTAGGCATTAAAAGCATTAAGAAGTAGGAAAGTGCCCTTTTCGCTGCCTTGGTAGGAAAAAGCGCTCAATAATCATATTTTGAAAAAAAGACAGAATTGATTACACGGTAAAGAACTATTTAACAAAATGCATGCGCACATAATCCATTTTTACCATTTTGCATTACATGATATCTTATGGGATGGGATCGAAATGTCAACAATGCATTGAAAGGTAAAGAACTGAAACTAGACCACACATCCTAATTGACCTTTAAGAAAAGTCACTTGTTAAGCACCTTTTACATCAGCTCTAGCAGATTTGTTGCAATAACTGGAGTGTTTGCTGAAATAGACCACCCTAATAATGATTAATCATAAAAATACTTATCGCATTGACTTTCTTACAATTCATCGGCCATATGAATTTATTTATCCCCTAACGATAAGTAATATGCCTATTTGTTTAAAATCGCATCACAAATATATATATATATATATATATATATATATATATATATGAGATAGTAGGATACTGAACTCTGTGAATCGTTATGATTACCTCAAACCATCGAAATAGACTTAAAATTCGATTGGAGTTTACTTTTAATAAAATCACTGGCCTAAATAGAACTTATAGAATTCCTTTGAGTGGAGCTCGTTCTCAGGCCACTTGAATTTAGAAATAACCTTTTTCATGCCCTTACAAAAATATTATTGGCTTATCAGCCAACCAATCCCATGGCAAACTTTAATAATTAAATTTTCACAAGAAATAATTACAAAGAAATAATAAATACGACAAATCTGTCTTCTTCCTCGTAATCTGAAGGATATTCTAAATCAGGGTGGTCACAGAGAATAGGAGCAACAATTAATGTAAAATTACCAATTATTTATCTTTCTTAAAATGTATATTTTGAGATCCTAATAATCCTTTTTTCCAACAGTTTCATCTTCTGTAGCAGTATTTTGCTGACAGGCAATTACCGTGTGAACTTTCTTTGTAAATCATTTTGCCCCTGCCTGAACTTTCAAAGCTACTGGAAATCAAAATTAGCATTCCAAGCTTGTTTTAGGCATCAATAAAAAATTTTACAGTCAATCAGTCTAAATAACATTTCACTTCGTATTTTGCGCATTTGAAATGAATACAACGATTGTAACGAAAGTTCTTATTTTGTATAACAATGTAACGTGAAAAGGAAATTATTTCATATTCCTCTTCTTCTCTTAAATTAGATATCAGTTTTTTAATTTTTTTCATGCAATGATATATAAATTTCACTTTTTTCCTGCTTACTATTTTAGGAGGAGAAGCACCATCGAATACGGATTATACTTCAGGGAATTTCAAAAATGATAATTCCGCAAATTGTGAGGTGGGTAGTCACTTGAAATTTCACAAAAAAATTTTAAAATACACTTCATTTTGACCATTTAAATACCACATGATGATATTTCATCACAAGTTCAAAAATGACTTTTGCCCGCCTGTTTGCCATGTCTGCATACCAAAATGAAATTAAGTTTATTTAATTAAATAAACTTTTGACATGGTTTAGAATGTGCAGGCATTTTTTCATTTGGAAACAGAAAAAGCGATAACATTATTGCTCGTTATTTTGAAATCACAGTCTACAGAAACCAAAAGCTACGCACTGGGTTTTCTAAATTGAGCTTGGTATAATTTGTGTACAATATAGAGGTGATAATAGAGCTTTACTTCAATTTTGCATTGAAATTCGGGTTATAAATCTTCCTTGCAATGACGAGTACATGACTTCACATACCCCATCTCAGTTTCCATTATTTGCTGTCTTGAGAAAACATATGTCCTTGATGTTCAGCTCCTATTGGTCTTAAGATTAATTTAGATGACATAGGCCTTTAAGAACAGGATGCATTCGTCGACCATGAAAAATAGTACACCATAAAAATATAGTCGAGCATTGTTTTGTTAAATTCAAAGTTCATACCTCAGATTTCTTTTAGGAGTATTCATTATAATTGACTAAATCCCACCCCCCCCCCCCCCCCCCCCCCCCCAATAAGTCTTAAACT